AACAGAGCTGTCTCTGTGTAAAATAAGAAGTGCAGATCCTCAGGGAAGTTGAGTTAACCTCCATAACATTTGGTTGGACAGGGTATGACAGCTGGATGGATTAGAGTTGTTTGTCTTTAGGAGGATGCAGGAACCAGCAGGAAGTGGCTTCTGGACACTTGGAAAAGTTAGACTCCCCTTCCCCCCAAGATCCCCTCTCAAATTAAGTGATCACAACAGGAAGGGAAGATTGTAGGTGCTATCCGGGAATAGATCCTGACAGATCAGGGACACCAGGGGCCTATTTGGCTACACACATGTTTGTTGTCAGCCCAGGGAATTAGCACCACAGAAGAAAATGTACCCTTCATTCTCATATGTTATAATCCCTTTACTCAGTGAAAGGTTGATTTATTGCCAGCACAAACAGTCTGGTTAAGAATTTTCGGAGATGATTTCAATCGTTCTTTTCTCCTCTGAAATGTAGGGGGATTCCACTTGCTCCAGTGGCTTCTCTGCAGGCTTTGGGCCTCAAACCATTTATTCTTATCTACTGAGCTGCACCTGCAGTTGGGAGGAAACAAAATTAATGCTTTAAAATTCTATTGAAAAGCATTTTAAAAAATGTGCTTATTTTTAATGTCCTGTAATTTGAGGCTTCTTCAGAATATACTTTATTGCCTAAATCTATTACATGAATTAATTGTTCTACCCACCACCAGCAATTATCATCAAGTATATTTCTAAGATTCTCACATTTCAATATCTAAGCATACCATAACTTTAGATATGCTGTTTATTATCTTGCTAAGGTTTTTGCATTCACAGTATTCAAAGTGAATTTCAAGAACGGTTTTTTCAGACATTTTTCTAAAAGTCTTAGCAGATTTTCTCTCTCTACTTTCTCTGGTTGGCCAAGAAACCTCATTTTATGGTTCCACATTTGGCTCTCCAGCTTCTCAGTGAGATTACTTAAAAGCCTTATATGTACATAGGAAAATGTGTTACAAAATTTAAGTCTCCTTCCTTTATTTCTTCAGTTTGGTCTTCACTTGAGACAATTGATTTTTCAGATTTACATTACTTTTCTTTAAACAGTCTATTCTTAGTTCCATTTCTTCAGATATATCATCCAGCAGAGTAGTCACTGCCTGAATGCAGAAAAATTTTCTTTTTTTAAGTGTGGCCTGTGATTTTGTTCAGTTTGTGTCTTCTATCTGTCCTTTAAAGACGTTTCACTAATTAATTAAGCATGCACTTCCAGATGAGCTTCAGTTTTACATATAGTATTTGTCATTTTTAACTTTACTATTGATCAGTAACTATCTCAGTACAAATGGATATGTCCATTACCCTACTGTGTTTGTGCCATGTGTTTTTAATGTGGAAGTTGCAACATGGCAGGAAGATAAAAGCTAAACTGAAATAAATATTATGTTTGGCTGTCTGTTAAAATAAGCATAATATAGGAGTCATTAGGTTGGTAAGATCCAGTCTTTGGCAATTAGCTGTTTTCCATTTCATAAGAGGATGGACAATGTTAGAACTGGGAATAAGAACTTTAAAATGTTATGACTGATGAACATGTTACTCTTTAACTGTAAGGTCTCTTGTTAAACTTTTCTCACAATCAGCAACAATTCACAGCATAATAGAGCCCAATCATTTTACAGAAACTTCTAAATGATTACATTGGTTAGCTATCATTGTCATGCGCTTTGAATTAAGTACGGGTTGGACCTCCCTGGTCTAGCTCCCTTGGGGCCTGACTGGTTCCAGATAAAGGAGTTTTTCAGACCAGGAAAGGTTGGCGGGAGAGGGGAGACATCAGCCTCGGTGCTGGGCTCCTCTCCCCACCTACTTGACCCTCGGCTCCCTGGCTGCAGCAGCCCTGTGGGCTTCATGGCCCCGCCATCTGTGGCTCTGCAGCTTCCACCCACCGACCCCGACACCTTCCCAGCTCCACCAGCTGCAAGCTCTGCTGCCCTGGCTTCCCGGCCCTTTCTTAGTTGTGTTCCATTTTAGAGTTGTCATCCCTTATCGTTAGGCACCCAGGGAAGAATTTACCCTAATCTAATTTCCATTTTAATCTAATTTTGGTAAGACTATAGGGAAAACAAGGAGTGTGCAAAATGCTTCCTTGATGACATTTTTTAATTTTCATAAACAGTAGTTTGAGCTTGATAGTTGCAGACTCTACCCTTAGAAAGGGGACAGTATTAATAATGTAAAGCTGAAATTATTGTGCAGATCTCTTTCTTAGGGAGGATCAAGGAACTTCTCTTTTCGGGTATGTCTACACTACAAAGTTAATTCGAACTAATTCTAGGGCAGGATAGCTGCCAGCCTGGCCACCAAAGGCCACATGGAAACCCAGGAGCAGGTTTGCATGAAAATCAAGTTGGTCCAGTGAGACCCCTGACCCTGAGCCCTGAGCTTAAAACATAAAAATGGCTGTACTGGGTCAGACCAAAGGTCCATCTAGCCCAGTAGCCTGTCTGCTGACAGCAGCCAGCACCACATACCCCGAAGGGGGTGGACCAAAGACAATGACCAAGCGATTTGTCTCATGCCTTCAACAAACAGAGGCCAGGGACGCCGTTCCTACCCCCTGGCTAATAGCACTCCATGGACCCAACCTCCATGAATTTATCTAACTTCTCTTTAAACTCTGTTATAGTTCTAGCCTTCACAGCCTCCTGTGGCAAGGAGTTCCACAGGTTGACTATGTGCTGTGTGAAGAAGAACTTTCGGTTATTAGTTTTAAACCTGCTGTCCATTAATTTCATTTGGTGTACTTTAATCCTTATATTATGGGAACTAATGAAGAACTTTTCTTTATTCACCCTCTCCACACCACTCATGATTTTATAGACCTCTATCAGATCCCCCCTCAGTCTCCTCTTTTCTAAGCTAAAAAGTCCCAGTCTCTTTAGCCTCTCTTCATATGGGACCTGTTCCAAACCCCTAATCATTTTAGTTGCCCTTTTCTGAACCCTTTCCAAGGCCAAAATATCTTTTTTGAGGTGAGGAGACCACATCTGTACACAGTACTGAAGATATGGCGTACCATAGTTTTGTACTTCCCCTCCTCCTCCTTCCCCTGGCTTCCCCCTTCCAGCTCCCTCCTCCCAGGTTTCCACCTCCCCTCTCTCGCCCTCTCTCTTCCCCTCTCCTACCTCCTTTTCCCAGTCTCCCCAGAGGTTAATCCCCCCTCCCTCAGTTTTGTTAAATAAAAAGAATTTCTATTTTTGAACACACGTGTCCCTTATTTTTTACATCAGGAAGGGGGGCTAGGGAAGGGTAACTGGAAGGAGGTGAGGGAGGAATGGGGCACGAGCCCCTGATGGGGAGGACTGGGGTGGCTCTGCGGGGAGGAAGGGGGCAGGAGCCCCTGATGGGGAGGACTGGGGTGGCTCTGCGGGCTCCTCGGGGTGGAAGCTCTCCTGCAGGGCCTCCTGGATCCTGACAGCCCCCCGATTGACCCTCCCGGATGGCAGCCTGCAGCAAGTGCAGCCGGGCTGATGGGCGAGTGCTGTAATGTGCCGAGTGTGGGCACTCAGGGCACTCCAAGTCAAGACTGCTTTGCTGTCCCTCATCGAGTTAGACAAGCAAGCAGGGAACCCTGAGAACTGTCTGTCTGGGGTGGGGGTTGGGTCCCTTTAAGCACAGCCCTTGGCTAGCCTGAGGCAGCAGCTCCACAGTCTAAGCCCTAACCTGATGCCCTGCTGGCACTGTTTCCGGCCAGCCTTAACTTCAGTTCAGGGTCCACTCAATGTGGACATGCTATTTCGAATGAGCAAATTGCTAATTCGAATTAGTTTTTAGGTTTAGATGCACTAATTCGAATTAGTTTAGTTCGAATTAACTAATTCGAATTAAGTTAGTTCGAATTAGTGGTGTAGTGTAGACATACCCTTCCAGGTCTGCAACTGTGAAGGCAAACTTGGATTGAAAAGGACTGTGAAATTCATAGTCTTATATTTTTAAATATGGATATAAATATTTCTAGAGGTTATTGGCTCTCACCCAGCCTGGGCATGGTCATCATTTCCAGCTACAGTTAATCTACTGGGGTTGATGGGTGGTATTTGCGGTTTTTGTAAAAAGATAAATACTGTGAGCATATACTTAATCTGTTTTCTTTTTCTTCAGTTATTCAGTTACAGTTCAAGAATCATATCCACATCCTTTTGATCAAATTTACTACACTAGCTGTACTGACATATTAAACTGGTTTAAATGCACACGACACAGGTAATAAATAATTATCAGTACTTTCAGATTATTCATTTGTTGTAATAATGTATGAAAGGTGTATTTTTGTGTGTTAAAAATTAACTTTTATACAGCGTACATCATATAGTGAATAAACTGTCTAGCAGTTATAGTTCAGTTCATCTGGAAAATGTTTGGCTAAATCAGTCAATAGTATGTGTATTTATAGCATTTGTCCCTGTCAAGATCATAGGATCTATCAGCCTGTCATATATGTGGTGTATATCTGATAGATGGTGACGAGGTTAAAGATTTGTATATTATATACTAAAAAATGATACCCTTCAGCTGCTGAGAGGCATAACTTGAGGGAAGTGTAAAATGAAGCAAATTACTTATTGCCGTCTTTGGAGAAAGGAAAACAAAGATTTGTTAAAGAAAATCCCTTTCTTGTGCATAGTAAAAAAAATAAGAAAGGAGCAAGTGACTCAGAACTGGCCTCAGCAGCTGTAAAATATTCTTTTTCTTCTGCCAGTATGATACAGCCATTAGTTATGGTGGTGTTGGTTAGCTACTCCTTGAGCATAGTATGTGAGATAGTTTAATATTGATAATATGAAATAACAGCAGATACAGTCATAGAGATGTTGTATTGACAACGTGTCTATTTTTATGTTGCCATTTAGATGTGTGCTGTTCATTGTTCATATTAAGCTGGGTGTTGTGAGGGTATGTGTTCTGGTTTCTTAACTCTGTCGTCAGAAACCAGATAGGCTGGAACTCTTCAATGAAGACAGAAATTGCAGAGAGGCTTGAGGGGAAAAGCTATATTCTTTATTCTAATAAAGCAGCTTGTTTAGTGTTAGAAAAAAGCAACTCTGTGATTGTTTACCATTGTCACATTGACACAATTTATATTTCTTTTGTTGTTTCAATGCATTGGTTCACATGATCCTGCAAGGTGCTGAATGTCTCACACCTGTAAAAAATGAGTGCCCTCATGTTCCACAAAAGCCAGCACTTTGTAGGCTCTGAGCTCATAGAGCCATGCTCTCTTCCTTTAAATCCTGCAGTAAGACTCTGGCTCTGAGACCCCGATTAAACCTTTTGCAGGGCAGTTTCCAAAACTAATGCCTTTGGAAATTGGAACCTATAATGATCTTATAGACTGGCCAATTTGTGATGTGTAGTTCCTTGATTTTATTCTAGAAAATGTTGCATTAGAAGGCACTGATTCTAGGAGTACCAAATCTAAAATGGTGACATCTATTGGCTTGAATGTATAGTAACCATAATGCTTCATCTTTTTTACTGGCCCCTGAAAAATAAGGTTTATGATGGTAATGCTACCAGATTTCCAGAATAAAACACTGGTATTGTTAAATTTATCAACCAATAAAGCCAAATCTCTCTCTCTCTTTCTCTCTCTCTCTCTTGCTTTTTATTTCTCTTGTATTATGTATCAACTCAAGATGTTCCAAAAGATCCTAAAATAAACATTGTTTTACTTCAAATCCACTATAATAAATGGAACATCCATTTATTTTTTATTAGAATCAGTTACCGTACTGCCTACAGGCATGGAGAAAAAACGATGTACAGGCGGAAATCTCAGTGCTGTCCTGGATTTTATGAAAGCAGGGAAATGTGTGTCCGTAAGTTCAACTTTATATTACTTTGAAATTCCATGTGTTTATCAAAGTGCTGGATTCACTCCTCTTTGGAGGTAGACTTGTGGAACTTGAATTACCTGGGGTTCAATTATCCCATCAGTTGTGCACATGCATCCCTCTTTGAAGTCAGTCAGTGTTGTGCATATGCAGATGACAAAATAATTGGACCTCAGATGTATATATAGATACATATGACATGATTTTCACTAATCAGCTGACATGCTGTACCTCATACAATACAGGACTGAGTGATCTTCCCAACACAATACATCAATATTTAATACTAGACCACTGGAGCATTACAGGCCCTTACTTTGAGTTGGGGCCAGTGTGAGTTGTCTCTGGAACAATCCCTCCTGGGAGTCCAAAGAGCACAGCCATAGTCTGCACCGGCCTTTGGGATGAAACATTGCTCTGTCCCAAAGTGCCTGCCCAACTTTGGGACAGTTAGCATCATTGGAGAGAGAAAGATTCTTCTTTGTAAGTGTGCTAACAGATACTTGTGTTTTGATAAGTAAGCAGAATCTAGTGCATCTTTTCTTGGGGATATACAGATAGATACCATATGCCTATACAATCAGGGCTAAGAAATGAAGTAATGCAGTAATAATTCAATTTCCTATACCACTTTTTTTTGGGAGGAGACTATATATGCATGCATATGCACTACTTCTTTAGGCTTTCTGGATCTTAGCAGACCAATTCTGGTTCTCTATCCCTGAGAAAAAGTATAGAAAGGGCCCACACAATTCCTTCTCTGACACCCACACAGACTACTTGTGTCTATAATTACTGTTTGTTGTATTGATCTTTGCTTATTGTTTATAAATTATAGGGGACAAAATTAAGTTTGAGAGGGAGGTATAAATCAAGTGGTGTGACAAATAGTTAATAAGGATTATATGTTAATGGGAAACAGGCTGGATCTTTTAATTGTTTTTTCTTCTAGAAATTTTAAAGAGAGGGTTTCTAAAAATTGTAGAATTTTTGTAAAGAAAGTCATTGTTTGAGCTATTAGCTCAGCACATTTTCACTCATAATTATTTCTGTTTGTGAATAAAAACTACTACTTTACATGTTGTATGCATGAATTGAATAGGTGATGAATACTTGTGCTATGTTGAAACTTGTGGGACAAAACTTTTACTGTACTAGGAAGGCTTCAGAGAGAAATACTTAACAAAATGATGGATATCATTATAATTTGCAACCTATGCTTGTTTTCAGCATATGTTTAGAAATTAGCAATGTAGTTGGATAAATCTTATTATCTTTATTAATCAAGTTTGCCTGGAACATGAATGTTGGCATGCATATTCAATATGCTTATTCCCTATAAATTTCAAAGTTGGTCTTCCAAATACTTTCAAATGTGTATTAAAAGTTACCTATATGATACATCTTTGCACCTGGAAAATTATACATTGCAAATGTCATAACACATCATAGGATCCTAATTTTTCTTTTTTTTAACATAGCCCCCCAAAATTTGAAAATGTTATAGTAAAATAATTGACTTAAAATTATATTTATGAATATGAGAAAACAAAGGCAATATATCAAAATGAATTTTCAAACTTTTTAAAAAATTATGATTTTACACAATTGGACTCAGATTAGTAAATCTCTTGTACCTGAAAGTTTACAAAATGCATTTATTAGAATTATGAAAATTGAATTTTGAATATGTTTTGAAATAGTGTATATTACTGATTACAGTATATTGTATTTCTGGATTAACAGAGGTAAGGAACAATTTGACAGGATTTAGACAAATAGCTTTCATTTAATATAATGGAAAGTGTGTGTAAATCCCCTAAACTGATAAGCAAATCTAAACCACTGCCCTTCCCCAGCTTTTATTGATGTAACATTCCCACTGAACAAAATGGGAGTTTTTCCTGAATGAAGACTTCAGGACAAAGTGAACTTGTTTTTAATACAGCACAATATTACTTTACTGAATTTCAGTTACTTGATATCGTTTCTCTGTCCTTGTATCTTTAGTTGCAATAGGCTTCTACCTTTCCATTCTTTGATCAAAAATGAAATGCAGGAATCCAGGTGTCACCTTTTCAAAAGCATTTTAAAAAGTGTTGATGTAACTGTGCTCCCATTGAAGTTTATGGTAAAGCTTCTCTTAACTTCTGTGGGAGCATTGTCAGGCTAATGCTGAATGCTTTTGAAAATCCTACTTCAGGACTCTGTGGAGATGAGCAGAGCCACAGAATCCCCCCCCCCTGCCTCAATGGATGGGGAAAATCATGGAACCAGCCGTGATTGGAATAGCCCAAGGAGAACGCTGAGGGAAAGCAGGGATGTTCCTCCCCTTCAGAGTCTCTAATCGCCTAGGGTATGTCTAGACTACATAGCTCCGTCGACAGAGCCATGTAAACTAGTTTACCCGGCATAGGCATAGAAGCGGGGATTTAAATAATCCCCGCTTCATAAAATAAACATGGCCGCTGCGCTGTGCCGACGATCAGCTGATCTGGCACAGTGTGGTAGTCTAGATGCGGATCAGTCGGCTAGGGAAGCCTTTGCCGACCGATCCCTTATGCCTTGGCGATTAGAGACTCTGAAGGGGAGGAACACCCCTGCTTTCCCTCAGCGTTCTCCTTGGGCTATTCCAATCACGGCTGGTTCCATGATTTTCCCCAGCCATTGAGGCAGGGGGGGGGGCTGCTCATCTCCACAGAGTCCTGAAGTAGGATTTTCAAAATAACTTTCTATTTAACAACTATCTATCTGCAAATCAGAAACTTTATCTGATCCTATACGAGAAATATTGTACGTAGGATTATCAGTCTGAAATCAGCAAGATGAAATTTCACAATGACAAGTGAAAATTACTGCATTTTGGAAGGAAAAATCAAATGCACAATTACCACATACACTTGAACATTATCCGTTCATTTATAAACTGCTCCCCCAAACTTACCGAGAAAAAATGGTAAAAAGTCAGCAACTCATTTATAAACTGATTCCATAGTACACACTTCCAGTCCCAGCTCATCAGCACCAGCTGAGGGATGTGCAGGTTATGAGCATGGAGCCTCTCAGCTCCCATTGGCTGCAGTAGTGTTCAGTTTTGGTGCCACCTTTAAGAAAGTTGTAGACAAATTGGAGAGCATCCAGAGATGAGCAACAAAAATGATAGACGGGTTAGAAAACCTGAAGAAGTGGGTTGTACCTACAAAAGCTCGTGATACCATCTACATGTTTTATTAGTCTTTAAAGTTCTGATTAACTTGGCTACCCCTTTGAAGCTTCTGACCTATGAGGAAAGGTGAGAAAAACCCTATGCATCTGAGGGAAGACCTGTTGGTTACGTCTACACTGGCATGAATTTCCGAAAATGCTTTTAACGGAAAAGTTTTCTGTTAAAAGCATTTTCAGAAAAGCGCGTCTAGATTGGCAGGATGCTTTTCCGCAAAAGCACTTTTTGTGGAAAAGCGTCCGTGGCCAATCTAGACGTGGTTTTCCGCAAAAAAGCCCCGATCGCCATTTTCGCGATCGGGGCTTTTTTGCGGAAAACACTACTGTGCTGTTTACACTGGCCCTTTTGGGCAAAAGTCTTTCGGAAAAAGACTTTTTACCCAAATGGGAGCAGCATAGTATTTCCGGAAAAGCACTGACGATCTTACATGAGATCGTCAGTGCTTTTCTGGAAATTCAAGCGGCCAGTGTAGCCAGCTGGCAAGTTTTTCCGCAAAATTAGATGATTTTGTGGAAAAACTTGCCAGTCTAGACACAGCCATTAAGTCTTCAAATATGTTAAAGACTGTTTAAAAGATTATGGCGATGAAATATTCTTCATGTGCACTGAAAATAGGTCAAGACGTAATTGGTGGGACATGGATAATTCTTCATGCCATACTCCCTGTCATTTATCTGGCCTGAGCAAGCTAATGATCCAACCAGCTGACCAAATGGGTGATGAATCCTGATCATGTCACCGGAAGCACTGAAACACCTTAATGTTATGGTATGTGGCTGCCCTGTAGCAGCCCTGCTGGTCAAGTGTGGAACTACCTCTGTTTCCCTTCCTGAGGTATATCTCCTCATCTCTCTTCACTCAGGTTTGTGCTGGAAATGTGACTTAGGTCTCTTTCAGCCGCACATTTCTATGATTCTATGACCTGCTTTGAATGCCATGTTCCATAAAATGCAATGCTTATTAAAATTAGACTGCAAACCTATTCCTATAGATGCATTTGGAAGAATCTGCCCAGCAAATGTCTGAGGCCATTCTGATGGTGAAATTCTTTAAAAAAAAAACTGTGCATGAGCTCTATATTTCTTTTACTCAAGACCAGATCCCATTTCCAATTGGTCTGCAACTGTATTATATCAACTGTACATGATTTAATTCATCATGATATGATCCTGTGATCCTGAAAATGTGGGTGGAGAGCTTGCCACCCACCAGTTGCAATCCCATAATACTAAAAATGGCTATGTTCTGTGTAGATAACACTTTTTACATTTTAATATGCAGCATTGAGCTTAACCAGCAATGTGTTCTCATTTGCAAAATGCTCTCATGGCTTATAATGCACTGGTTGATTTGACAATGCAGAATGTGCTTTCTTTATGTTGTTCACTATTGTCAGTGTTGGCTTGGTGCCCATTACACTATTTGAATCAGACAGACTCAATCCTAGTACATCAGACATGTTAGCATCAGGTCTGAAAGTTCTTCAGTTGGCCTCTTTCGTCGATGCCATGCCTTGTTCAGCTTTTTCACTAGTCCAAGTCTTATCCTGTTCCCTCCGACCCGCGTGCAAATCTTCTTGAATCTTTTTTTTGACACATTACACACTTCCACAGATGATATGCCCCTATTTGCACTTCCTTTCACTGGAGCAGATGCTGTTGCTTTGTTTGGTGCCAGCTCTGAATGTAGCATACAGTTTTAAAATGCCAGAACTTGATGATGTGGTATTTTTTGCCTCTCAAAACATCTGTTAAAGATGCTG